ATTTCAAAACACTGAACCAATGTAACAAAACTAAAAAAACGACCGTACTGCAATTCCCAAGAATAGTAAATTTCAATCCGATCGTTCGGAACATGAAACACGGTAAACAGTCCCGGCCAAATTGAGCCGGAAAAAAAGCCGCAGGACAAACTCCCGGAGAAGAAAAAAACTCGAACAAAACGTCAAAAACAGAATTCTAAGCACCTTACCGCAGAAGAAATTAAACCAGCGGTCAATGATTGTACTATCTCTTTCACTGATCTTCGTCGTTCCATCGCACCGACAAAGTCATCGCGGCTAGGGATTTTAGCTCTCCATATTGATAATTAATTCATTTTAATAAATGAATATAACTTTAATTAAAATATTACTGTACCACCTATCTTCAATGAATCAAGAAAAATACGTACGAAATACTTTAGAAATAACTCTTAATAATATCTTTAAATACCCGTTATTCTTAGAAAACCTTAATTAGGAGGATTTCTTCCTTATTTTTCTACTTCTCTATATATATATTCTATATCTCCTTGTACAATACAGAACGAATAAAAAATATAGAGGCATCTTTCTCAATTTCTTTCAATCTACAAATATGGACTATTGAAACGTAGAACAAAAATAAAACAGAGTCACTTTTTTTTACAAGGAATTTAGAAGTTTAAGATATCACAAACTAATATCAAGTCATCAAATAAATGATATTAGGATACACGGTCACTTATTTGATATTTGATATTAATTTTTGATGAGTTAAATGACTGATTTTTCAGTAAAAAAAAAAATTGTTATATATTACCTTTAGTATATATTCTAATTATATAGTTGATATTATTAAAAGTTATTTCGAAAGTACATATTACTCTTGATTTCATGAAAGATGATTGATACGGAGTATTATTTAAATTTATTTTCCTTTGTGATGATTAAAACTTACGTAGTTAGAAATTACATTAAAATGGCTATAAAAAGTTGCAGAATCCAACTAAAAATGGTTAATAAAACTATTCTGTTTGAACTAAAAAAGTCAATTTTCGTAATTCAATTTTCGTACTTGTTATGACACGGAGTTCCATCCTAAAAGATCAACTTAATAGGAGGAGTAGCCCATGTCTTAATATAACACTTTGTTTATTCAAACTTTTCCTATGTGGGATTCTAACACCCCTTCTCACGACCAGACACTTCGTCTGAATCGTGTCATCATTGTCTCCATATTACCTGGAGAGCTCCGATTTCCCCGCATCTTAACATGGTATCAGAGTCAAACCGATCTATAACCACGGGGTTACATCCTAAAAGGTCAACCTAACAGGCTAACAGGAGGAGTGGCTCATATCTTAATATAGCACTTTGTTTATTCAAACTTTTCCGATATGAGATTCTAACCGTACTCCGTATTTCCCAAAATTATATTCAATAATTGGTGATAAAAAAAACTTTCCTAAGAAACAGAGCAACTTCCATTTATACTATATTCTAACCATTTATTTAAACCAATCAAATTAGTGAGGCATCTTGACGTGTAGTCTTCGACTCTTCGGTCTTGTTTGATAACTAGTGGATCCACTAACCTTTTGCGAATGCACTTACCACATTTGACCAAATTCAGCCGTTTTACACGATCAAACCGTCGCGCTGCATGTTGAGTAAATGACTATTTCATTAACTGATTCGACCTCAAAATGCTTAAATTGAAAAACTTCAACTACATCGACTTCGTATTGAAAAAAGTCGGCCCCATTCGATCAGATCAGCCGGCTCTTATACAGGATGTTTTCTTTTGAACTGAAATTTGTTGGTCTGGTCTGGTCTGGTCTGATCTGGTCTGATTTGGTTTGTTTAAGTCTGGTCTGGTCTGAACTGGTCTGGTCTGGTCTGGTAAACGTCTGGTCTCTGTGTATTTTATAACTATCCAAGTCTGCTCTGGTCTAGTCTGGTCTGGTTAAGTTTGGTCTGGTCTGATCTGGTCTGGTCTGGGACTGAAAACAGTCCAAAAGAAAACATCCAAAACCATAGATGATGAGTTTCAAAGATATACTTCCACCGTTCTTCAATAATTGGATTTTTTGTACTATTTATACACCTTACTTTGATGATATATATATTTACACACGATGAAAATTGAAAATAATAATCTCAACTACTGCCGATCCGCTGAAAATAATCTCAACTATTGATTATTTTTGTATAATCCCAACTATATAGACTATCCGCCAATAATGGTCCATGACCATATATTACCTCTATAAAAAGTGAATTTTAAATAGAAATTAAGCGTAAAAATTAAAAGTTGAGATTATTTATAGGGATTACTTGTTATATTTCATCTCATCCACTTTAGAAACTACAAGAATTTATTCATTGGGACCATTATTGGCGGAAGGTCCCTAAAGTTGGGATTATTCTGTAATAATCAATAGTTGAGATTATTATGAGCGGACCGCCAATAGTTGGGATTATTACTATCAATTTTTCCTTGATTTTTTTGCACTATTCATACACCTTAGTGATGATATATACTTACACACTTCATAGTCCTATATAATATAATAACCTTTTATGAGCGGGATTAAGTATTTAAGTATTTCACTTGCTCATATCTTATTAACTTTATTGTACCTTTTCTTTTTTAATAAGCCTCTGTAATCTCGTTAGAAATATCACAAAGAATTCCACAGCTCATATTCGAATTTCATTCACAAAAACTAGAAATATCCTAAAGATGGATGAAGTATGTATTAGATTGAGCCTCTAGACGACTCAAGTGCACACCTATGCTGTAAAAACCGGACCGGAGAGTGACCCGGCCACATGACTGGGTCACGGGTCAACCCGGACCCGGTGGGTCAACCCGGTCAACGCCGGAAAACCGGTCAATGATTATACGTCTATATAATAATATTAAACATATAATTATATATAAAATTATAATAAAAATTAGTTATTATTCATAATAATCAACTAACAATACTACTTATTAAGCATTTAATACACTCTTATGATATTTGAATGTATATTTTGATCTTATAAAAATATATAATGATATTTTTATTTTTATTGTACATCTATATTATAATTTGGCATGATGTTCATTCTTAAATAAATATATAAATATATTACGTAGTTTTTCTTTTTAAGGTATTGAAATTGCAATTTTATTGGTATAAAAAATGCATTAAAAATAAAAAAGAAATTACTGTTTTTGGTAAAAACACCCAAAAACTGGATTTTACCGGGTTTTTCGGGTTTCTTGGATCCGGGTCTTGATCGGGTTTTCCCAGGTCAGCCGAGTTTTTCCGGTTTTTGACCATTTTCAGGTTTTGAAAAAACTGAACCGGTTTTTTGTCCGGGTCACCGGGTTTCGGGTCAACCCGGCCGGGTCGGGTCAATTTTTTAAACATAGGTGCACACGAATATAGGATTTAATGTTCCAAGAAGTTGAATCTTAATTTTAAGGGTCCCACGCCCTGACCTGACAAGACATTTGGGAGAATGTAAATCAGACTCAGTCAGCCCAATGATAGTAGACCTTATACCAATGTGCACCAGAGATTCAGCCCATCACACAAGAGATATAAATTCCACACATTGTTTCGGATTTTGATCTATGATCAATGTTTCAACTTTCCGATTACTCAACCAACTGAATTACCCGCTCAGGTACAAGGTTTAATACTACTATGCAGGGACGGATCCAGGATTTTGAGTCAAGGGGGGCGAAATTTTTTGTTAGTGTAGGGGGTGATTTTTTTTTTGTTAGTGTAGCGGGGTGAAATTTTTTCCCCTAGTGTAGCGGGGCGAATTTTTTTTGCTACTGTAGGGCTATGCGGCTATTTTTATTCAAAAAATGACATTAATACTTGCACATCCCCAACAGGCATTTAAATCTATTACATTCTAAGTTTAGACAATGCCAAAGACATCAACCAATACATTTTTAATAACTTCTACATTGTTTAACCTCATGAATCAGTTATTGAATTGTAATTTTTGTCCACCAAGGAGGGTGTTCGTGAGTCATGGCTCATGAGAAGTTTTCTTAATATTACAATAGTAGTATACTAGTATGTATGAGATTGTTATTTTTAGAATAATATGCATCACATACACACACACACACATATATGGTGCATATTATATTTTAATTTTTTTATTAATTCTATAATAATTTAAAGTTTATCATCTATCCATGCAGTAAATTATTTTTAGAAAGCAAGAAGTAAATGAATTATGTAATCTGATGTCTATAAATATTTATATTTTGGATTCATTTCACGTGATTAGTGTGTCTAGTATTTAATATTGTTTGATATATGTTTTACAAAATCTTGTACTTGTTATCTAATAAAGATAATTAAACATTACAAAACTAGGAATTCTTATATAATAAGTATCCTAAATCTTAAATAACGAGTTACTCTATTGTTTATTTGTTTAAGTTATGTAAATTATTTTAGATGTTTCTTCTTTTAAATCTTCAATTAAGTATTACATTATGTAAGACTATATACTAATTTTGAAAATTAAAAGCTAAGGGGGGCGAATATAATTAAATTATGAAAGTTTTATGAAAATATTACATATATGGTAAAAAAAATTGAATGTCCAAGGGGGGCGGTCGTCCCCCCGCGCCCCCCCCCTAAATCCATCCCTGCTACTATGGCTGATTGAGCCATCGTGATCATATATTCATATGCTATGTATCGGGTCGGGGCTTAGATTGGAAGGCCCTAGGAGTTCAACTGTTTCAACTTTTTGGAGGAATGGAAAGAAGAGTGAAAACTTTCTAATCTTTAACAATAGAGTATTTGTTAACCGTACGTACCATATTGTCTTTTGACGAATAAGACCTTAGCTTTGTCCTGGTGGTGCGTGGTGAAAAGGAAAACTGATGTATCAACTTTAGAAAGTTCCACGTACAGCCCAATGAATTCATCAAGTTCCCATAGATTGATATATTCCATTGCGATAGAAACGCGTTGAAAGCTCCGCAGATTCTCAAAATAAATTTTGCAGTTTTCAAACCCAACTTAGCGTAAACCTTAAATCGGGGTTTTGGTTGCCCATATGTCTGCATCAACTAGTCTTTGTTCAATCAGACAATCACCAACAGAATATGGTAATATCATAATCTTAATTCATCATTATTATGCTTAGTGTTACCCGTATACCTTCAAGATTTTCAAGACTACTTGGAGCTAGCTAGCTAGCTAGCTTGATTAGTGAGGTCAATGTTGGGCGCAAACATGAAACATCATCATCTCAAATACGAAGTATGTAACAAGTTTGAGCCTATCCGGGTGATTCGATTCCAATTGAATGATTGATCGAATTGAATCATATCTTATTTAGGGGTGTTAGGAATTCATTATGCTTCTCATTTTTTTTCAAACAAAAGTAGAATCAAAATCGATTTTTAGAAGTTGGTGTCCACAGCTTGTAAAATATTGCTTATATGAGTAATTTGGAGCAATTAGAAGTATTTCTGCATTTTCATCCAAATAATCCAATATCTAATTCTACTCCTTGAAAAATCATAAGCAGTTTTAAGAAGTAGATCCAAACACTCCCTGAGTTTGAGTTTAATAATAGTTGTTGAAAATCATATTAAATCGAGTTCAAATGAAATTAGAAAATACAAACCGGATTAAATCATATTAGGGCATATATATTCAAAAATAAATATCTAACTTTGTTATGTTATACTACGTACATTTATACCTTTATTTAAGCTCATTCATAATCGCCAATAAATTCAAAATATTCACCCTATTAATATAAAATAATGTATTAGCTCCTTCAATACAATTTTTCTCTCCAACTTATCCTGAGACAAAAAAAATTACTAATAGTTTATTTTTTTTTTTGTATGGAGTATACAGAACATATGTTTAATTAGGAATATTGCTCTAAATAGGAGCACAATTTTGGGAATTCTAAAATATGGTTACGTTGTTATATGTTTTTCTTCGTGAAATATATAGGAGTCGTTACTGTTATGATTAAAAAATGTTGTCATTAATTATAATAAATACTGTCATGTAGGATGCATGGTATTACAACTATTTGACAGTCATATAGCTAAAAGATTACAATAAATTCTGACAACTTACTCCTATTTCGGGAAGAAAAACTCTATTTAATTAGTCTTACTTTGAGAGATCTCTCGTTTAATTATGTTGTAAATTATTCTTAATAATCTCGCAGCCAACTCCACGCCCACCTTTCCTCATAAGGATGTTTTCTTTTGGACTGAAATTTGCTGGTCTGGTCTGGTCTGGTCTGTTTAAGTCTGGTCTGGTCTGGTCTGGTCTGTTTAAGTCTGGTCTGGTCTGGTCTGGTCTGAACTGGTCTGGTCTGGTAAACGTCTGGTCTCTGTGTATTTTATAACTACGGAAGTCTGGTCTGGTCTGGTCTGTTTAAGTCTGGTCTGGTCTGGTCTGGTCTGTTTAAGTCTGGTCTGGTCTGGTCTGGTCTGGTCTGTTTAAGTCTGGTCTGGTCTGGTCTGGGACTGAAAACAGTCCAAAAGAAAACATCCTAAGTCTAACATACCGGAGGCAACTCATTGCACTTTCAAGGCTGTTACTAGAGGGTGTGAATTTTCACTCAAGGGTGGAAAATACTTTTATTCACTTTCCATTACTTGGATTATACTTTTTTGTAAACCAGAAATACTACGAATAGTGAAGTCCGATCATAGTTACATCAACAATTATGTTAATATTACTTTATATTATTATTAATACTTCCTCCGTCCCCTATCTTTGTCCCGCTTTACCTTTTCCGTCCGACCCATTAAGTATGTTTTAATACCATATTTGATAATATTTGGGTGCTTACAATTCATTCTTACTTTATTCACACTTTATCAATTCAATATCAACCACACAATTATATTCTACTTTTTCTTAAAAACAACATCACACCCCTTTGTCACAAACTTAGGGGGGACGGAGGTAGTATATACTTCGTATATAGTTATTCTTATTCATAATAGTACGAAGTATGTATGTATGTATGTATGTATGTATTATTATTATTATTATTATTATTATTATTATTATTATAATACAAATTTAGGTGGTTGGTATTTTCAGTTTGATTATTACTTGTAGTAACACTATAAGTATTGGTACTGATAACATTTTTATTGATGATAACCGTAACTATAAAAATAAGGATAATGACAACCACATATATATAATGAAATTGCACTTGTATTTATAACCATAATTATAGTTATAATTGTTTTATAATTATAAATATATTTATAATTATTATTATATGAATTGAATGATATTAATAGTTTTATAATAATACACTCAATTGTGATGTCAGATTTTCAGAATCAACGTATCTCTCTAGGGTTCGCCGTCAGGTGCTACCGCTAGAGCCGTTCGTCCGCTATCGGTTTGTGCCGAGGAGCGGGGCCAATTTCGGTCATTCTTTTTGTGATAGTCCAGATCTAACGTACATCAAGGGGATGCAACAGGGTAAGGCGATGTATTACTTGCATGGGTCGTTCACACATGTACAACATACTTCTGTTATACAAGAGGGTTGGGCGGATTGTTTGGCGGTGTGTAGCGGCTGGAATTCTAATAATCCGATTGGCGCTACAACAGCAAGAGGCAGGGGTATTGGTAAACTAGCCACAGATCAATGGTTGATAGATTTGGTTCCGGCCCTCGGCACGGGTGATGAACAGACTGGGAGTAACGAAGGGCTAAGCAAAGGAGAATACGGATCGGCGGTCCGTCTCCCTCCTGAACGGCTGCCTTGGATTGATCGAGATGTCGGGATTTAGAAGATGATATTTCAAGAAAACCGTCAGAAAGAAGTTTGGAGTATTTGTCAGTTATTCTATTTTTTATGGTTTTATTTTCGTACTATGTTTGTTTACGACGTTTCATTTTTTGTTGAGAACTTTAGTTTTAGGTCTACAATAATGATTGTCAATTCTGCTAGATATTGTGTCATTGGAAGGATCTATATGGTCAGTGATTGTTGTGTTACACCCGCTTGGTGGTTAGCGATTCGTATTGCTCTTTCGGGGATGATCGTCTCAGAGTCTAGTCGTAGGATTGATTGTGGTGATAGTTGGTTAGGGATAGTTTTGGTCAAGGTTGGTCTTTTTGAGTTTGTTGTAACGATCCATTTCCCAATGGTTTAATATAAGTGTTGGATTTGATGATCAAAAATAAAAATTAATACACTCAATTAGGTCAGATCGGACTAAAAAGATTCATATCTGATCAGAAAAATTCAGAGCGGCTCATATAAGATTTGAAAATTTCTGATCAGATCAGAAGATTCAAATAGTAATTAAGACAAGATATTTAAAAGTTCAAATTAGAAACATTCAAATCAGACAATTAGTGAATTAAAATATGATTGATATTAACCACAACTTGACCATTTCAGAGTAAAATGATAAAGATTTGACTCAACCAAATATGAAAAAATTGTCAAAAGTTTATGTTGAAAGTCACATACACAATTGAGCATTATTCAGTTACGTATTAGTTTTATTTATATTTTAGGAAAAATTGAAAATAATAATCCCAACTATTGCCGGTCCGCTGAAAATAATCCCAACTATTGATTATTTTTGTATAATCCCAACTATATAGACTATCCGCCAATAATGGTCCATGACCATATATTACCCTCTATAAAAAGTGAATTTTAAATAGAAATTAAGCGTAAAAATTAAAAGTTGAGATTATTTATAGGGATTACTTGTTATATCTCATCTCATCCACTTTAGAAACTACAAGAATTTATTCATAGGGACCATTATTGGCGGAAGGTCCCTAAAGTTGGGATTATTCTGTAATAATCAATAGTTGGGATTATTATGAGCGCGGACCGCCAATAGTTGGGATTATTACTATCAATTTTTCCTATATTTTATTAGCTGTATTTGAATTTTAACATTTATTTAAATGTATTGCTAAATGATTGATATTAGTCTTGCCATTTCTAAAGAGCTAATTGCATAATCAACTTATGCAAATGAATGGATGTTTACTAACATTAAATTTAATTTTATACTTCGTATTACACACATACATGTACATGCATATATTATGTGCATATTCTCGTGGTTTTTACCGTTTAACACACCCTACTTCACATTTATATATCCACTTCTAGAGGCAGCAATTAATAATCAGGTGATACTGTCTCCTTGAGAGGGTTATGCACTTTTGTTCCCGAGCTGGGTTCATCATCTACATACTAAAAGCATAAAAGTGTAGTAGGGGGCCACCAATGTCGATATTTGATAATGCATATAACGGCCCTTCTCGAGGCATACAAATTACAAATTGTGGAATTATTTGGTTCATAGTTGTTGGCCACTTGGCCTGCCAGCCTCAACTACTCTCCACCGTAAATTATATGGTACAACCAAACCAAATGTACGTTATGTTGCACGGATACGGATATGTCGATACGCGGATATGGTATGCCGAGACGGTAATTTAAAAAATTATAGGATACCGGTACGAGGGTATATTTATAAATAATAAAAATATAAGGTATAATTTGCAAATATATATAATTCAGGAGTTCATTGATAAAATAATAATAGTACAAAAAAATTAACTCTTATAACAAAATTTCAAAGATTAGGCTAAAGAAACTAAAGTACTCATATTTTGATTTAAATTCAAACAAAAAATTTTGTTCTCTATTTACATTTGCCTCTAAATCTTGTTTCAATTAAATCTCATAAAACGATAAAATGAAAAATTATAGTATTCCATTATTTTCATACTCCCAAAAACATCTTTATCAATGTTCCGCATCTTGTGGTCGCTTGGACGGCTACTAAATTTTTGTCATGCCGGGTATGAAATGAGGGTTACAGGATCAGATATGCAAATCGGTTCACGGATACAGGTATCGGAAGTATCGGTATTTTTAAAATTAAGCCCGATACTTTTATTAAATTACGGATATGGACCCAATACGTACAGAGCGTGTATCGGTGAGTATCGGATACGGATACGTATCGAATACGCGGATACGGCATCAGGGTGAGTATCGTTGCAACATAGAATGTACCATGTAGACGATACAATCGAGTATTTTAACTTATACTTAATCGGTATGTAGCTAAAATGAAATGAGTATCTGTATTAAATTATAAAATTAGTACATAAATATTGTTATAATAATACAATGATAATATAGTTAAATCAATAACTTGATTTGTAGCATATATATTACGTGTAGATCATGATACTCAATTGCACACTTCTAATACTTAATTGTGCTACCAATATAGTGATTTAATACAAATGCTCATTTTCTTAAGGAAAAATGGAAACTAATAATTCAACCTTTTAGCGGTCTTCTTACAATAGTCCCACATTTTCGTTATTCATGAATAATCCAACTTATGCACCTCATCTTCATTCCCTAGTCCCTGACCGGTTGATGACCTGCTATTCCAAGTTATTTTCTTCTTTGCAAACCATTATACCATAAATCTCATCTTTCACAAAGATAATATTTTGCAACGATAAGAAAATAACTTGGAATATCAGGTCATTAACCGGTCGGGGACCAGCGAATGAAGATGGGGTGCAAAGGGAATTGAGGTATTCTTGAATAATGAAAAGGTGTGACTATTGTAAGAAGACTGCTAAAAAGTTGGATTATTAGTTTCCATTTTCTCTTTTCTTAAACGCAGTACTCAATATGTTTAAAATATGATATTTGGTTGTACGAGGAGCATCATACAACCGGGTGTACGCTATAGGCTCTCACTATCCACGTCCCATCCTCGTATCAAACATTTTATTTAATTCTATTTAATTTTGCATTTCATCCTAAGTATAATTGATGTTTTTATATGAAAACATTTCATTAACTTCACTCCTAAAAGAATGATAGACAGAAATGTGACTTAATATTTTTTTAGTGATTATAAATATGTTCAAAGTTTACATGTTAGTGACTAGGATGTAAACTATAAACACAATTATAGTCACTGATTTTTTTTTAAAAAGAATAGTCACCAAAAGTTATTAAGTCACATTTTAGTATGAGACTTTTTTATGAGTAATATTTTTTAAAAATCCTCTTTTATATGTACTTTCACTACAAAAAAAACAATGATATTGGCATGGATTAATTGACTTTAACACGAATCATAACATATTTTTAGCAAAACGGCATTAACACGATATTTGGCACGGGATTGAAATATATGTGTCAAATTTGTGCCAAATCACCTATAAATTTTAGCAAATTTGTGCGAAAGATTCATACCAAATCCGTTCCAATTCAACTAGTATTTGTATTGTTTATCATTTAGAGAAAATTACTAATCTAACAAGACACTTAGTAGGTTGCGAAGTAAATATTATGTTTGTAAACTATAGGGATGTGAAGCATTTATGTGGTTTGATTTGATTATTTAAGGGTAAATTCACGAAATAGGAGTAGTAAAATAGAACCGCCATGTTTTTATTCGCTAAACAGGAATAATTATTTTAGATTTGAAAAATACTGCCAAGTTTAGAGTCTGGTACTGCCAAAACATGGGAGTAATTACTCCTATTTAGGAAATAAAAGCATAATAGTCTTTTTGTGAAATACACAACATTTTAAGTCTTATTTAGGGAAATTCCTTGATATTTAATATAAAGTGTAAGGGCCTGTTTTCTAACACAGGTATTTTCCAATCTTCCATAAAACTGAAAAACTGGAAAAAGGAATTGCTAGAAAACTCGAGAAAGAAAAACAGAAAAATGCGTTTACTGATTCATTTTCCTAAACCAAAAAAATGAGATATGTCTTTGTTTTCCTTAATGAATTGGAGAAGTACAAGTAAATATGAAGCGAAAACAGGTAAATATTCCCGAGTGAGCGGAAACATGAAACACGGCTTGGAGCGACAAAAATAGGGTCACCAGTCAAAAGGGATCGAAAACTGGCACTTCTGGATCGATTTTGAACATCACAAAAACGAAGTACAAATTTTGGCGCTACAACCGGCGCCGGTCATCACATATCCGGCGCCGGTCATAGGTAACTTTTCAACAATCGAGCATGTTTCCAACCGGCACAACACAACCGGTGCAAAAATTCATATGACCGGTGCCGGACATCCTACAACCGGCGCCGGTTGGTCCGATTTTATGCTAAAATAGAATAACAGATCAACGTGTGAAAGATTTCTTATGGGAAAACTTCATCTTCCTCCATATCTGATCAAATATTGCTTCCATACCCGATTGTTGGGCTTGAATAGACTAAAAGATGTCATTCTTTAGCCTATATAAAGCCCTTAATTCATCAAGCAATACCATTCCATTCCATACTTTAATTCTTAGCTTTTATATATATTTGTTCTTGGTATTTTCTTCAAGTTCTTGATGAGGAAACTTCAACCTCCGAAATCATTGATGTTTAGGTATTATTTCTTTTGTAATTTCATGTTCTATTACATTTCAATATTGTATTGTGATTAATATGAGCATTAGGTGTACAATAAATGGTTTAGAACTTTTATCAAATTTTGTGTTTAATGGTATTGTGTTTAATGGTTTAATATGAGCATTAGGTGTACAATAAATGGTATTGTGATTAATATTAATCATTAGTATTGTGATTAATGGTTACAAACTTTTATCAAAAGTTCTAGGGATGAACCTCTATGCATACTAGGTGTTTGATAAAAGTTCTAAATCACTAAATTGTGATTTATCCTTTATATTTTGATTGTTTATGACTATGGTGTACAACATAAAAAATAATAGATAGGCCCAAAACTGAAGCAAACCAGTCCAGTGTATTATCTTTAATAAACTCCACTACAGTTTATTGTTTAACCGGAATTGGATATCATCAATTAAACAATTAGATGATGATGAATTATTATCATGCACTACCAAAAAACACGAGATCGACATGGATTTTGGCCGAGATTTTGGCAGAGATTGTGTCAAATCCGTGTCAAAAAACACAAGATCGACATGATGAGGAATTATTATCATGCTATTTTACACGAAAAATCAGTAATCCGTGCCAAACTTTCGTGTCAATCCCGTGTTTTTTTGTAGTATATTATTTCACCCTAACTAAAAAGTCAACATTGAAAGAGAAGTAACTCATATTTTATACAAA